TACAAGTTCCCCTGACACAATTACCATGACCACTAGAAAGGTTTTATTTTTCATAATCAATTATGTACCTCTGTAGATGTGAATGTTTAAATGTCCAGGTAAACAGTAAACTGTAAAAGTCAGTGCTTCTCGTAAAGGTCCATTAGTAATTATTCTCGATCATGGCCTCCATATTGGATTCCCCTCTGTGACATCTTTTCTCGGTCACTATCTGGGTTCTCAGATTTTTCAGGTTTTGTACAAAAACAGTCCTTACATCATTTTCAAAATTAAAGAGCACAAGCTTTGAAAGACATAGTTAGAATAATCTACTTGTGTCTCGGGAAAAGCCCTCACGACAGTTAGAACACCACCCATATACGTGCAATGTAGCAAAAATTTGCAGAATTACTCCGAATCGAATTTGAAGAATACAAAAGGACTTGCATTGGAAATAACTTTAAAATTATTTATAACAAACCTTTCTGATGTTGCGTTTGCCTTTAAACCTAAAATATAATTCAAATGAAGACGAAAATCCAACTAATTTTCTCAACGTTTTTTCTCGCTTCATATTAACACGCCATGTTTGCATTCTGGATTGCTCGAAGTTAATGCACTGAGTACGAGTTGTTGCCCGTGTTTAATTTGCTACATATTGAATACACGGAACAAATTCTATCGTAAAACCGGTTGCGTAGGACATTTATCATTTTAACGATAAAACATTAAATCCTTGAAAGACATACTTCAGTAACTTAAAATATGCAAAACTAAACATAATAGAAATGTAAAAAAATTCCACTCAATGTCAAACATATGATACATTAAGTAATATCTTTGAAACTTACTAAGATAATTACAATGTTTATGGTAAGCTATCACTAAGCTAAGCAAAATATAACCCGCTCTTGATAACACACTGAAGTCCGGTCCTCACCTGTGAGGCCTGACCTGCACATTCATATGGATTTATTCTAGGATGATGATCATTTTCAAAAATCTTCACCACAACATCAAAAAGTCATCCATATTCCCAATCTGCTGCTCACCTTCAGTCTATAAAGACTCCCTGTACAAATGCATATAAAATAAAATTCTGAATATATAAAAATAAATAAGATTTATTTATACCAATATATTTGGGGCCCATCAGGTGAAATACATACGAGGAGAAATTAAAATAGCAGCATCATGTAGATATTAAAAGAAAAGAAACTAACAAAAATATGAATTATCTCTTCACCTTACCCGGCCTCTTTTAAGAATGTAAGAAAATAATTAATACACTTTTCTTTAGATAAAATCGTTTGAGTATCCAGCAATGTTTTAAAATATATTTATCTCTAGAATTATATATTTATACGGAATGAAAAATGACTTAAACATAAACCTTTCAATCATCAACAGCAGGCATTAGCTCACCATTCCTTGCTTCTACAAAAGATATAAAATGAAAATTTAAGAAAAACAAGAGGCCCATGGGCCTTATAGGTCACCTGAGCATTATGCAACAACTTTCCAGTGATTGAATTTGATTCATGTTTTAATCCAGATGCTATGGCATTCACAATTTTGAAAGACGCCCCATTGAACATCATAACAATACACTTAGCAGTTGCTTAGTTTGTTTATTTAATACCAATAGGCAGGGTAGGGGAACAAAAAATGCATTTCAAGTAATCAGTAACATTCAGCATGATCAGTAATGCCCCAATCACACATGAACCCCTGACCCTTAGGCCTAGATCCACACATTGCAAAATTTTTGAAAAGGCACCCTTGCTTTTCAAAAATATTTTATTAATACCAAGGAGCATATTTCGAACAATTCATCCAGTTTCAGTATATAAGTACAGCCCCCCCCCTCCTTTATGGTACCCCTGACCCTGGGGCCTTGAAATTCACAATTCTGGAAGATTAGTACCCTTGCTCATCATAACTATATAGGTAGTTCATCTGCTTAATACCAAGGAGCAGAGAAGAAAACTTTCAAAGATTCAATGTATTTTCACTATATAATCAATAGAGCCCCGCCCTATCACTAAAACCCCTGACCCTAGGGCCATAAAATTCACAATTTTGGAAGAGGTATTCTTGCTCATCATAACTATGTAATTAGTTTATTTCATTCCTTAGTAGGAGTAGAGAAGAAGATTTTCAAAGAATTCATGTATTTTCAATATATAATCTATAGAGCCCTGACCTAACAACAGAACCCCTGACCCTGGGGCCATAAAATTCACAATTTTGGTAGAGACACTCTTGCTCATCATAACTATACACTTACTAAATTAATTTGATACCCAGGAGCAGAGAAGAATATTTTCAAAGAATCCATGTAATTTCACTATTAAAATCTATAGAGCCCCACCCTTACACCAGAACCCCTGACCCTGGGGCCATAAAATTCACAATTTTGGTAGAGGCACTCTTGCTCATCATAACTATGCACTCAGTTAGTTTATTTAATACCCAGGAGCAGAGAAGAAGATTTTCAAAGAATTCATGTATTTTCACTATATAGTCTATAGAGCCCTCCCCCTACACCAGAACCCCTGACCCTGGGGCCATAAAATACACAATTTTGGTAGAGGCACTCTTGCTCATCATAACTATGCACATAGTTAGTTTATTTAATACCCAGGAGCAGAGAAGAAGATTTTCAAAGAATTCATGTAATTTCACTATTAAAATCTATAGAGCCCCACTCTTACACCAGAACCCCCGACCCTGGGGCCATAAAATTCACAATTTTGGTAGAGGCGCTCTTGCTCATCATAACTATGTACTTAGTAGGTTTATTTAATACCCAGTAGGAGAGAAGAAGATTTTCAAAGAAATAATGCATTTTCACTATATACTTATTTGGCCCCGCCCTAGCACTAGAACCCATGACCCCGGGGCAATGAATTTCACAATTTTGGTAGAGGACTCAATGCTGATTACAATCATGCAAACAGTTTGACTGCTTGATGTCCAGGAGTAAAGAAGAATATTTTTAAAGATTGCACCAATTTTAGTGGTTTGTGCCCCACCCCCCAGGGGGGCAGGGACCATGAAATTCACAATTTTTGTTCCCCTTTAACCATAGATGCTATATGCCAAATTTGGTTCAGTGGTTTCAAAGAAGAAGCTGAAAATGTTCATATGTTATCGCACGACGGACGACGACGGACGACGACGGACGAAAAGTGATAACAATAGGTCATCTGAGTTTACTCAGGTGACCTAAAAATGAGAGTGTTTGACTTGGAAGGAGAACTTTTGGAGTCAGATTAATTATATTTCTGCCAATGTTGGACAGATAAATTTTTATAATAAAACTAGAGGTACTGTGAGCAATGAGCTCACTAATTTAAATGATACCCCCCGACTAACATATGAATAAAATTGTAGTGTCCTTGTTTTGCTCTGGAAAATCCAAAATATATGTCAGATCAAAAAGTAAAATAAAAGGTGCACAATGGCAATATGTAATAAAGATTCTGGGAAAGTTTCATCAAATTTCCTTCAGTGGTATAAGAGGAGTTAAGGATAAGAGATGGGTACCTCAAAGCGTATCAGTAGCATTGCCGAAAGGATAGGTGGCGCTGCGCGCGCATAAAAATGACTAACTACGAAAACCGAACCCGACTCGTATGCCTTTCAATTACGGCCTTTGACACGTTCCCTTAGCATGCTAGCAATTTCATTGGTTGATATTTCGAGAGAAATGACCCTCACCTTTCTGTATTTGACAACAGCCCGGGAGAACTCCTACAAGCAATGGTAACAAACGTCAAGTGAAGTTTTATGTTTTCGCTTTTTTTACTATAGAGGACGAGTACGCCGGCTTAACAAGTATATTTTGATTGCTCTTTGTTATTAGAAAGTGTAATCATAGTCAATAGCATTATAAAACCCCGTAATATATAAGAAATTGCACGATATAACAGGGTACCCCTTTACCGGAAATAGGCACTGAAGAAATTCGAACGACACGTGTTACAATTGTTTACAAATTTCGTCTGAGAAGAAATAACCCTTCCAAGTCTTGTACATTTGTATCATTGTTACAAATTTACTATACACGTTTACAGTTATAAGAGTTTGGAGCATTTAATGCAATGTTGATCAGAATTGGGAATATTTTATTTGTTTTCTTCATAAGAAGAAGACAGCCAGTGTTTATTTACATCATCAGACTCGGAACTGACGGAAGAAGAATCTGAAACACCTGTGAATGTAAGTAAAGAACAGAAAACGCGCAGTAGCACTAGCACTAGCAGCAGTGAATCTGAATCTTCTGATTCTCAAAGCATTTTAAAACCGAAGAAAAGAAGGATTTCTATTTCTAACTTAGTGTCAAGTCAAACTCAAGCACATTTGTGTGGGAAAATATTAAATTTAACATCAGATAATGTGCATGTATAGGTGGATCCACCGCTGTAGCACACACCTTGCATCACAGATATGTATTGACTCAAACTTTCGTTACATTCCCAAAAACTTCCTACTCTGAGAATTCCAAAGAAACTCAAACAGTAATATCAGGACCAGTAGGTACAAATACAAATGGAATATGGAGTGATGATTTGGTAAAGGTGTTTACTGAAAATCATAAAAGCACACAGACATTTGTTTCTGGAACATGCCTTACAAGAAGTGACACATTGAACTATGAATTTTGAGTGACTTTGTTTACAACAGAAAGAAACTCACAAAATTATAGAATCTCTTAAAGAATTTGGAATTCATTCAATCGAAGTTCTGCTTCAAGATGAAAAATTACCAACAATACCCATATCTTGCTTAAAGAATCTCCATGTAATAGAACTGTATTCATGTATGAAGCAAAATAAGAAAGATATGAAATGGCTAATTAAAACATTGGGGAATTTAACGCAGCAAATTGACATGAATGAAGAGGCTCTTAAATCCAAAATCTACAGAATAATGGATGCAGATAAGAAGAAACGGGGTCAACTTAAATCTGACTTTAGATCTTCATCATTTCCACAACTACTGTTTCTAGTTCAATGGCAATCCCCATCCCATCTGAAACATCTAAAGAAAGAGAAACGTTGGAGAAAAAATTAATAACTTCAGAGAAACAGTTATCTGATAGAAGGCAAAGAGTAACTTTTCTGTCTGAGGAAAATAAAAAATTGAAACGAAAATTAGACAGATTAGAAAATCAAAAAGATCAAATGAAGAGGCTCAAAGAAAGTGTCACTGCATCTAGAAAAGAAACACAAGTCTTACAGAGGAATTTAGTTAGAGCTAATAAATTGATAGCTGAAAGGAAATGTAGCACAGAGTCAACAAGACAGCAACACCATTACAAAGTCAAGTACAATGAGAGTAGACAGGAGTGTGTGAAATTAAAAAATACAGTGAAATCACTTGAAATTAATATGAGAGCTTTGAATCAAGATAAAGGTGAAGGAACAATTTTGGATAAACTGCAAGAATTAGAAGCAGAAAATAACAAACTTAAGACAGATTATTCTGAATGTGTATCAAGTATAGACTACCTTGAACAGCTTTTAGCTGATGACGGTGACAATACAGTTGTTCTGTATGATGAATCAAAGAGAGAATACACCAAAGATGCTGTTAAATGTATTATGAATTTAACCGATTTAAAAGTACCGAGCCAAAAGGTAGGCCCTGTCATAAAAGAAGTAGCTGAGTTGTGTGGTAAAGTTCCTAACCAACTTCCATCAAGAACAACGGTTGATTCAGTTGTCGACAGAAAACTTTCTGTTGCTCAGAAACAGTTGTCTCTAACTCTTAAACAGAAGCAGCACACAACCTTATATACTGATGAGACCAGAAAATATGGGAAAACTATGCAAAGTTACATTGTCACTGATGATGATCAAACATCCTATGTAATTGGTCTACGTGAAATGTTCAACAAAAGTGGATTGTGCACACTGGACACATTCAAAGACATTTTACACGACATCAGCTCTTTATGCGAGAAAATGGAAGGGGATGCCTCAGTAGGATTTCAAATTCTCAAAAACATACAGAACACCATGTCGGACAGAGCTGGGACAGAAAAAAATTTCAACAAGTTGCTAGAGGATTATCGCAAGGAAATACTGCCAGTGGTCATTGAAAACTGGGAAGAATTGGATGAAGACCAGCGAAAAATAACGACATCTATGAACAACTTTTTTGTATACTACATTTACTGGTTGGCATGGCAGATGTAGCAGAAGAAGCACTAAAAAAGTTCGAAAGAAATTTTTTAGATGGGAAATTAATAGGATCTTCTGCATCTCCAGAACTTAAAGTTTACCACAAACTTGAGAACGGAGTCCTGAGACTGTTGAGAACCTCCTGCAAAGCTTTCGCTACTGGTGAAGATGAGAAGAATGGTGTCAGTCTCTTTTGGAAAACGTATCTGACTGAGAAGAAAGAAAAGAATCTCATTCTTCGATTCAAGCACAATAGATTCAACCTCATCTTCCTACTAGGCCAAGCAGTTTTTTACCACCGTAATGATATTATTCATTTTTTGGACAAAGTGGAAGGAACAAAAAACAACTTAATAAGAGCAGTTAGTTTAGACATAAAAGAAGATTTGTATGCAGCAGGAGCCAGAGCACTTGCTCTTGTCTCCAAGTTCATCACTGGTCCTTTATGGAGACTCTTGGAAGCATCAGGACACATACTAGAGATGAACCTACACTTCCAAATGTTAATGCGTTTCCTGAAGTCTGCTGCAGAAGACACAACAGTGACAGTGGAATTTATACACGGAGAAACAGCACCTTTTGATATATCGTACATTCCCGAGGATGAAGTTATCAAAAGATTAACAGATGATCAGGATCCTACAACTGATTTGCTTGTACCCATTTTACAGAATATGTTTCAGGCATTACATGTCTTGCTCTGTCGACTTATACCTGATCATTTGCCAGGTGGCATATTTGACAAAGCCACAGAGGAGCTGACAGATATGACAAAGTCAGTCATGAAACACGACAAACTGCCTGAATTTGTTTTTGGACAACTTGATCAGTTGATGCGTTATCGCCCAAACGCTACCATATTAACAAATGAGTCATTCATCATGTATGCACACAATAAGACCAGGGTGTGGTTAAGCAGTTTAACAGAGGGTGAACAAAACCAGCTTCTGACAGATTCCAGAAAGGAAGGTCGTGACATCAGACAAAAGTTCAAACAGCGTATTCAGGAAATAAAACTGAAACGACAGGAACAACTAAAACAAAAACAAGCTGAACTGGAACGTTTGGAAAAGGCAAGGCTCCAAAGAGATGAATCTATGACAAACCTGATATGTTATTATGGACTATGGCAGTCTTCATTGCAGATTATTGAAGGACTAGAAAGGTTGCCAGATTCGAAAGAAAAAAGAAAAGCTTTGGAATCTCAGCTCAAATTTAGGAAAACTGTATTGAAGCAGAAACACTCTGAAAAAAGCTTATTCAATATGTCAAGAAAAATGCCATCAGGCAAGTATGAAAAATTGAGTCTTGATGAAATGCAGGCAAATTTAACCATTCTTGTCGAAAGTACTCTTTCTATGCAAAGAACTGAAATCGTCACGGAGGGAATTCCCCTTTTGGTGAACAAGAAAGTGGAACACAAATTTACAGATGGTATTAATTACAAAGGGAAAGTTATCTCTATTGTACCAGGTTTCCCACACTGGTATAATATCCAGTATGAAAATGACCCAGCTGTATATGCTTACAACCTCTTTGAAGATTATAAGAAAGGTGATTTGAAAATAGTCATAGAGAAATAGACATAGCTGCAGAATCAACTTGTACATAATAATTAATATAGTGATTAAGATGTACATATCTTTTTCGTCATTTCCTTGGAGTTTTTTGTAGAACTAGTTAAACTGGACAGAGTAAAGATCAAGATATATTTACTCATGTAAGAATTCACATTTTAAGAATGTTCAGTTCAATCCAGTAGCTAGATGTTCCAGTTGAAGTTTGTTTCTGAGTTGATTTTTATAACAAATTTGAAGTTTCTTTCAAAGTTAGTAGCTATAGATCTTGTTGCTGATTCTGCTGCAAAGCTAAGTTGATTACTAATTAAAAAAAATTCTTTTTCAGGATCCAGTTTCTAATTATATATTTGTTCACGATTATGAAACTGTTGATTAATTTCAGGGCATGTTGTTTGTGTTCAATTTGGAGAAACGTTATTACTAACTTTACAATATCCCTATGAATTAATACAGTCAAACCTGCCTAATTAAAGCTAAAGGTTGGGTAAACCAGACTTTGTAAGATGGTGACATTGAAAACTATTAAATTCAACCTGGCTAATTAAATATAAATGCACACAAATTCTGTATTTCAATATAATGGAGTAATCTCTTACTTGACAGGTTTCATTGTACTAATACTGCATTAGTAACTACAACATTGATAACTGCATGGATAGTTCATTTATTGATACTGTTTATTACTAATACATCAAATATGTACATTGGAATACATACAGAAATTTGTATTTTGGTTTTCATTTTCTGGGGAGGGGTCATCTGGAATAAAATTGAATTTTTTCTTTTCTTTTTTTTTCAGTTTATACATTGAAAACGCATGAGAGTGCCAGGTCAAGGAGGTTACAAGAGATTAAAAAACACATTTGGTGAGTGTTTTGAAGTATATTCATCAAGAAGAAACATTGAACAAGAAATAGAAACATTGATATACTATATATAGTGTATGGTTTTGTAAGAAATGACTTGGGATGCTTTTTTCCTAACTTTGGCGAAATTGCATTTTTTTGTGTTCTAGGGGGTTGCCTTATTAAAATGACTGTAAAATGATAAGTTTTGGGTATTTTCAGCTATATTTTATATTTTTGTTCTCTGGAATTACCAGACAACACAATGACTTGAAAAGAATGAACAATTCTGTCGAAAAAAAAATTCGTCTGGCAATGCTAGTATCAGACGGACGGACGGACGGAAATCCCGATTACTATACACCCTCCACTTTTCAAGCGGGGGTATAATGAAAAGAATTATTTGCATCAAATAAGACACATTTATCACCTTGCAGTCATTGTCGATAATACTGTATACAACTGACAACATCCAAAATCTCTTTCTTTGTTGTTACATTCTTGGCGGAATTTTCTTGCATTTAGACTGGTCTCCATACATTGCAAGTGCCCTGAACAAGTCCTTAGTTCATTGTTTTTGTTTACAAGCTTTAACATCAGTAAACTATCCCGCTCATTTAAAACATTTACTTCTAACTTCTAAAACATATTTTACATACAATTTTCACCTCAGTATTCTGTTATTCTCTTCATTCAAGTAATATTCAAACTCTTCTCGAATGTAAAACGAACGATCTGCTTTGAAGAGTAACCCATATGGCACTGTGTATTCGGCTGAATAGCCAATCATTTCAAATCATGTTGAGAGGGCCTTCATCGTTATTTTGGCGAAATTCGCAACCAGTGATCCTTTTCTGAAACCTTATCTAGATTTAAGAAGGTTCTTGCCTTGAAAACTGCTCCAACTCCTGGGTTGGCGTGCACTGCAGGTTTTTTGTTTTTGTTTTCGGTTTTTTTTTTTTACTTTTTCCAGCTGTTTTCACTAGTTCACTTTCAGATAGATCAGTGCATTGTGAAACAACGAAACTAATGAAAGTTAGGTTAAACTACGCTGTTTATGCTATTTACTGCCAGAATATAAGATTAATATTTTGAGAAATTGGGGAATGAATGTTTATGTGTCTCAGTTTATTCTGTAAAGGTGTATGAATTAAACAAGACAAAGAAAAACAGTTCTGGAGTGTGACTAAAATGAGTAGTAAATCCCTTGCCGGGCGGGAATTACCGGGTTTTGGCTAATTACTGAGAATATACGCAATCATTTGTCATAAAAGTTACAGATGTAATTTATTACAATAAAATATGCCTTGGCTGAGAGTTTCAACTCATGACAAATATTAAGTTTATATTTTATTTAATATATCGTTTTGTATTTTAAACTGTGTCCATTTTGTTAAAATACAGGTACATGTATAGTGAATTCAGTACGCAGATTGTTGAAGAGAAAACATAATGGAAGACAGGTGGTCGAGGAAGAAAATATGATTACCCAGATCGAGGATCCCAATCTTCTTTGGTACACGTACATGCACATTTGTTTAATCAATTAATAGTATCATGAAATGTTACTTCAAGAAACATTAACATTGTTTATTGCTTTACTCATTTTGGAGTCAGTATCATCATATATTCGTAAAAGAAAATTTATGTTCAATTTCTTTTGTTAAGTCTCAAGCTACTCAGCCTACCATGAGAAAATTGAAAGATCTGTCATGAAGAAGCACTCGATAAGGGTTCTCAAATTTCATATTATAGATACAGGGTAAGTATTGTTAAAATCTAATTTTTAAGTTTTCTTGATAAAAAAAAAACAAACATCAGGGTTTTTGGCAAAATCATAACTAGAACTGTCCAAACGGGAAAAAATCCTCAACTTTGGGTTTTTCAGAGGTGCCAAATCATGAGTATTTGTAGCTCTCTGCTTGAGAAAATTCGGACAGATAAGGACAGATCCAAGCGTTGTTAAAACCCTTCATTTAGACCGACGATTGTTTGTCGTTCACAAGGGTATTTTCTCGTGTATTTTATACTTTCCCAATCTTTGAAAATAATTTATGTAATTGTTCATTATATTTTTTATGAATAAAACGAAGGAACAGCCTAATTAAAAAAATAAAGACCGAAGATACAGAACAGACACAAATTATAAGCTTTTTCTGTCATTGGCCTTGAAAATAAATGACCTTGGTTCAAAGTCATGATACGACCTCAGGTCATAAGCAGTCTTTGAGTAATGAGAAACCCTCCAAGTCTATCCATAAGAAAGATATGGAGCAGGCACAAATTATGAACCATTTCCTTTCAATGTCCTTAGACTTGCACAAATGAACTTGGGTCAAGGTCATCACACTCCATAAGCATAAGCAATCTTTGTGTAAAACAGGAACTTACCAAGTTTTTCCATAAGAAAGATATGTACCAAACGAATTATGAACTTTTTCTCTCAATGTCCTCGAAGTTGCACAGATGACATTTGGATGAAGGTCATGAACCACACTTATGGACCATACACCAATTATAGATCTTTTTTTCTTTCAGTGACCCTGACTTTAAATGCCCTTGACTCAAGGTCACAACACACCCTTAGGTCATAAACCATCTTTGTGTGAAGTAAATTCAAGTTTTTCTTAATAAAGATATGTACTAAAATTGAAATATAAACGTTTTCTTTCAGTAACCTTAAACTTGCACAGATGACTTTGGGTCAAGGTCATGACTTACCCTTAGGACATGAGCAATCTTTTGTGAAACAGAAACTTACCAAGTATATCCATAAGAAAGATAAGGACCGGACACGCATTATGATTTTTTTTTCTTCCAGTGACCTTTAACTTCCCCAAATTACCTTGGGTTTAGGACAAGACAAGCCCCTAGGTCATGAGCAATCTGTGTGTGAAGTAGTAGATTGTAATATATTTCTCGGTAAGAAAGATAAAGACCGGACACATTTGCACAGACAGACGGACAAGCTGATTTTATATACACCCCCAAAACTTCGTTTGCGGTGGGTATAATGATTCAAAATATTTTGTTTTTCTTTTTGAGGTTAAAGGTATGTATAAACTTTTTATCTATTAATAAGGTTGTGTCTTCTTTTCATTTTCTTAATCATGGTATTGTTAATTCAGATATCTAAATAGATTTACGCAGATGCCTTTGAAAATATTCATACTTATGCATGTCACTGAAAATATACTCACAGATATTGTTTTAGGAAAAGCATTAGAAGACTGCCTGCTTTAGAAGAAAATTTTTGGACTTTGAAAAGAAAGATGTGACAAAAATATTTTGACAGTCCATTGATAGGTTGGTTGCCCCCCCCCCCCCCCTCCCCAGTTCTTACCATTTTATAACGATATCAAGGAGATGTAGTATTGTATGCCAAAAAAAAATTGAAGTGAAAGGACGTTGGCCTTGAAAAAAGGTGTACTTTCGATTTTGGGCAATTTTCCTTTCTTCCTTTTTTTGCTTGTCATCTTTTACAAGTAAGTAAAAAAATCTCTGGTTGACCCCCCCCCCCCAACTTTAGAAAACGATGCTACGTGCCTGACATGAAAGAAAAGTAGTTTTATGTTGATTCACAACTTTAAATTCAAGAATGTGCAGTTTGTACATGTATATTAAGTATGATGTCCAAACTTCTTAGGTGTCGATTTGGAAGAAAAAAATTATTTATAATAGGCACAAGGCTTTTTTTTTTTTTTACTAGAATGGAAAACAGAAATTATTAACTTTTGTGGTTATTTAAAATTGTATTTACTTAAATTTAATTTTCTGTAGTTATCAGATTTAATGTATCCTAAATATTGTGTTTAATGGTTGTAAATATTTGGATACTGGGAAATTCAAGATTTAGGGAGATTTGATTGTGCTTCAGATAAACGACAGATTTCATCTTGTATATAACGTAAATGTATCACTGTCACATTGCTGGTTTTTGATTGGATACTGGCTGTGTATCTTCTTGTACCTGTACGAGAACCTTCTGTAAAAATAAAATCCACTTAAAAGAAAGAGAGGGAAGAAATTATATCATAAAAAGAAACAGAAAAAATTAAGTAGAATACGTGTTTTGTTTCCCATAATAGTACATATGTGGATTTACATCAACTCAGTTTTTATTGCAATTTAGTTTTAATATAATAAGTTAGATTAACTCCAATAAGTACACATTTAACCCAAATAAATACAATGTCCATGCTTCTAAAAAAAATATTTTACTGAAAAACATATATCTCATCTAAAGTTTGTTCAACAATCAGTACACTTGCATTATTTTGTAGTGTCAGATAAAAATAACTTCACATTCTATACTTCACTCATCAAAAATCACAACAGCTATTTTAGCGTGAAGTTAGAGGTCAAAAATACAAATATTACTACATGTACATACATAATACACGACTTCCGTTAAAGTACATTCGATTTGTTAATTTGTCGATTCATAATTATATGCTATGGGTTCATAATTATATGCTGTGGCTATTTTATTATATGTTGTCACAGTGCTTCCTTATTATATGCTGTTTTTTTTTTATTATATGCTGTGATAACATTTTTACTATAAGCTGTGGATTCACAATTATATGCCGTGGTTTCATTATTATATGCTATGGGTTTATAGTCATATGCCGTAGGTGTATTATTATATGCTGTGAGCTCATATTTAATTAGAAACAAGCTATTCGAATCCGGATTTTTTATTCGAAGTTTACTTTCTCAAAAATGATTACAACTTAAACATCAATCGCGTCATCTCGAGTCTTTCCGTAAGAGGTCGGAAAAACAACTCGAATGTATTAACATCACCGGATGTTTATAATTTATACATCTTCATGTTTATATATATGTAGAATAGAAGAATTTAAAAGTATCGTCTGTAGTACATTTTAGGTAATATCTCGACATTCAATAAAGTTAAACTCCATGCTCCACAGATAAGAAGTCATTCAACATTTATTTCAATGTTTGTGAAAAGGGAGATTGTCATATCGTGTACGTAAAACCATGAAAACATTCGAGGTCGTTTTTCCGTTAGTCGGAAAGGCCTGCGAAGCTGCGATTATTTCAACATAAGACTTACTTTAGAGTATGTTGTGACAGATCTTCACCTGAATGACGCCGTAAAAAAAATTAAGTCTGAAAGGACTGACTTGGATAATTTTAAGTTTTTCAGAACAACAATTAACTCGATTGGGAATAAGTACCATTGGAGACAGACTGAAATTAACATTAAACAGACAGGGTTAGCCTAAGCAGTTGATCGAAACGAAACTTTGGCAAGTCGGATAATTCAACAGCGAAATACTTTGTTTAATCGGAACAAATGTGGCTGAGGTCAGAAGAGACGCAGGGTATCTAATTCTGTGTACACATATTCATCTGCTTTGAACTGGTCTAAAATCCCACGACCAAGTGCACATGGAGCTGGAACACGGACAGTGACCGTAGTGTGCCCGGCAGATACAAGTGCTACATGTACTAGTATATATTAACATTATACATATATTTTGAATATAAAAAGTGTCGAATTTTGCGGCATTCAAAACACAGACACGGGGTGAAAAGGTTAATGTTTACGTTATATTTTGAAGTCACAAACGTTTAACGCCGAGGAAGTGAACGTCATAAGCGAAAAATCAAATACCACACTCATTTTGAACAGTAGCTGTTACATTAGCTCTTTCATTAGCAGTACCTTACATGTAGGATAGTACATGCATTTTAAAATATATAAATCACATTTGCAGCAATGGAAGAGATTAAAAAAAAATGTAAAAATAAGCAATGAATTATTTTGTGAAAGATGTCTCATATCTGCAACAGTGTGTGCAAACAAATTGAATAACGCGCTTTGTTTGCACACAACTTTGCAGTTATGAGACTATCAACTACAACATATAATAAAAAGAACCAAAACATATAATTATGAAACCACAACATATAATAAAAGAATAACAGCGTGTTATAAAAGAACCACAGTATATAATAATAATCACACAACATTTAATTACAGAAATAACAGACCCACAGCATATAATTATCAATCCACAGCATTAAATGAATTCATCTTACATAAGGCAGCCTTGGCGTTCCATACATGTGTAGTAGTGTAAGATACAAGGTATCTTACTACCCTGTAGCTCAATTGGTAGAGCACTGGACTGGCAAACCAAGGGCCCTGCGTTCAATCCCCTTCAGAGGCGCAACATTGTCTCTGTTACATTTGGCGCCCACGTTTGGACCCGGATATTCTCTGGCAGGTAAGGGTAATTGCCCCTAGAACTTCGCCCCACAGGTGTCGGCACTCCAAAAGAGCTGAGGACATCTCATTCTCTGGACGGGGACAATGAAGTAGTGTAAGATACAAGGTATCCTACTAGCTTGGGCTTGTGGGTTAACACTTTAGCTCAATTGGTAGAGCAATGGACTGGCAAGCCAGAGGCCCTTGGTTCAATCCTCAGCAGATCGGCACAAGATTGTCTCTGTTACACATGTAATGTATGTATAAATCTATATCAAGCGAAGTGTCTGTTACTGCGTATAAGCAGCTAACCACCCAATCAAACTGTATTTCAAGCTTATTGAAGAACGTGTGAAAGGCTTAAACATACAAAATGAACCTGTACGTAAACACATACATGAATCAGACAGTCATACATAATGAACATGCAAGAAATAGGAATACACCAAATTATGCCGTCAATTCAATTTATCTACGGATCGACCGTATCAAGAGCAATATTTGAAAATGTATAATTTACATGTTTCAAAAAAGAGATAACAAAATAAAAACAAAACATTAATAATTCATGATTAACTGTTACTTTAAAAAGGACAAGTTTCTAGAAGCAAAGAAAACTAATGTTATTTACTAGTTAGAATTGATACAAATATCAGGTAACACTGCTTTTCCTGCAAATCCATGTCCGTCATTTTTTCTATGACCGTACACAATTAATCCGAAGGAAGCATTATTTGTAGATTTAATTTTTAACATACCTTCCGATATTTGTAAAACCAGTACGACAAATTTGATTTTTCTTAACGTCACGGTAGCGTAGAATTTTCTTTCATTCAAAAAATGTATTATTTCTGTTCCATTCAAAACCAGGTTATAAAGTGATTTTTCTTCGATTATTAAACTGATGTAACTTTCTTTGAAATTTCCAGGAACTTCTACTAGGTAATTATCTGAATACTGCCTTATTCCTGGCATAGCTATCATGTAGGGGTCCCCTGTTGAATCAGATCCCGTAGAAAAACTGGTGACCAAAACGGGATTTTCTGAATCTATCACAACTACATCTTCTTTTAAGAAAGTGATTTGAAGGTATCCGTTGGGTTGGAGTATTTTTTCTGTTATTCTACTCCCTATTTTATATGTAATGCGGGTTTCGAAAGGAGATACTATTTTCAAAACTGTCCCCATTCTATTATAGGTAGGTGGGACTATATACATATTATCCAGCCTGTCAATAGGTGGAAGTTGTTCATCAAGCTTACTGCAAAATCCAGCATTGCTTCGATTTTCGAAAGGTATCTTTTGGCAATGACTCCCGGCAAAAACCGCTACAGGCGATGAAGCATTTATTAACGTCCCAGTCATATCAACCTTGTGCCATATTTGATATGTTTGGAGTTCATTTAGAATAAGAATGAACTCACTTCCATTTCGATAAGTAATTCCATTAATTACCTTTGGCAAATCTGGATCAAAATAAAAACGGATTTTAATTCTGGTTCCATTTGCTGGAGAAGCTATTGCAAATTGAGTATATTGTGAACTGTTGTATGGCCTAGGAGTAGAAATGACGTACGCATTAGATAAAGACTGAATTGGTAAAATTCCAGTGCTATCAGAGGTAGTTTTATAATTGTCAATAATGATGACTGAAACGTCTTTTGAAGCCTCGACGAACACTGCCTTTTCTTCGATTTTGAAATGTAACAGTGAAATCATGTTTGTGACATTTATCTCCTTCAAGTTTGTGGATTGTGTTTCTACTTCGTTGAACAGTTTTGTTGAATCGGAAAACTTCGAAATCAATTTATAATCAAAATCTTCATCTGATAAAATAAATATAGTCTTGCTCTGGTTCCTTGCATTAAGGTGATTGTCAGTAAAACACACCAAAAACTGACGACCTTTGATTCCTGTAATAAATTTGCAATTTTGATAAAATGGACAAAACAACAAAGTTAATATTACAGGGTTTTCAGAAGAATGGTTGAAAATCAGTATTATGTATATATATTATTAATAATTATAATAAGGAAATAAAACGGATCGTTTGGTTGTAATTACATGGTTACCGGTTTGCGGGGGGATGCTTACTGTACATTGCATACATGTATAACTTTACCTTAATTCCAGTGGAACTTAATTTTATGCTCTTTTCACAGCTTCAACATATTTATGTTTGCTATCTTATATCTCTGTTCGTTATCTTCATCTTTTTATTGCACGGAGACAAGAAACGCAATCGTTTTTACGTTAATTGAATGGACTTGTTATTATACGCCCGGATCGATAGATCGAGGGCGTATATGTTTTCGTACCGTCTGTTTGTTTATGTGTATTTAAAAATTATGAATTTTTATCATGATAGTCTAGAATGTGTACGTTATATTGTAAAAACTTTTTTTTTTTAAAAATATCTTTTGTAGTTTTCTGTTCACAGATGTATAAAATAAGCATTGTTTTTCGAATGAAATACTATGAGGCCATAATATTAACGATCTGTCTCTCTGTTGTCAACTTTAACCTTACCCATAACTTTTAAATAGTAAGAAAAAGACTTCATATTTAGTCTGCTTACTCTTCTAATGAAAGAAAAAGTAAAGCTCACATACATACCCCATGCCCTCCCCCCCCCCCCCCCCCCCCCCCCCCCAAAGTCGAAGTGCTGAAATTCCCGGAAAAAATAAAGGAATCGGAATTTTCTGGTAATCTGCTACACATTGTGTCCTAAATATTTGCAAAGTTTTACGAAATTCTGTGCAGCAGTTAATGAGGAGTTGCGCTGACAAAGAAAACCAGGACTGACTAACACCCTGACTGACTGACTGACTGACGGACGGGTCAAAAACATTATACCTCACACAACTTGTTGCGTGGGGTATAATAACCTCTTCCAATTTGTATCAAGTTCAATGACCTTGTGACTTTGACATATATGCTAAAACTAACTTTTTCGAACTTTCGCCATAACTTTTGAACCATAGGAGATAGAAACTCAATATTCTGTATGCATACTCCTCTAATCAAGTTCTTTCAGATGACACCAATGTCAATGCGATTTTCTTGTTACCCTGACTGTGACTTATATGCTAAATATAGATTTTTCGATATTTTTTAGTGTTTCATCTTGTTCTTATTCTGGAAACAAACCTGTTTTTCCTTCTGCAATAAAGTTCATTCCTGTAGTGGGAACATTTGGACAGGTCATTGATTTCTTGTTTTCTACAAAACAAATAGAAGTTATTTCTCATTTATCAATGTTTTTTGTTATACATTTAGCATTGATTTACTCTGTTAAAAAAATATTTTTTCACACAAAACAAATCATTATTCAGAGAATTATATATAAGAATTTTTATCTTAATTAAACCGTAACAGTGCGAATTCAGTTAATAATTCTTTATTTATTTTTTGCCTTTGGGATATTAATCTTTTGTATTTATTTCAATTTTTGAAGTTCTTTGGTCGATACAATGATCTGGTTAGTTTATCATTGATTTATATACTATAAACTGTCGTTTTTAATACTAATCGTTAGGCAGTTTACTACACGCTGACTTGTCGATGGATTTATCCGTTCATAATTTTCTCATCAATTTAAGGAGCATAATGCGGATGTGACCCGTCAGAAGGGATGCTTAATAGCACCAGATTCTATCCGTGTTTAGTCGTCCCAGTTTGGTATGTGCCTGATTTGTATTGTTTAATGGACTGTTGAGCTTGAATACTATTCGTGATCTCTTTTTCAGTAGAAGCTACATGTACATCTAACGAACGTGTAAGGACAGTGAAAATTGTAATAGGTGCATTCGTGCACTTCTTCTGAACTCGTTTACTACAGTTCCTTGCGATTATTGCAAAAAGACCTGGATAGCTCAGATGGTAGAGCACCTGACTGGAGATGCAGGGGTCCCAGGTTCAATTCCCGGTTCAGCCATACATTTTCTACTTTCCTGTTTGGTGCCATTGACCACACCTGGAATTTCAGGTGAAAGTCGTACGTTCTGGCAGGGGGTAAGAAGAATTTGGGTAATGTATTCGATTGCAAAGACAATTTAAGGAAGGAGGGGTGTATTGGTTTTGACAGTAAATATCAGCCTGGATAGCTTAGTTGGCAGAGCACTTGACTTGATATGCAGGGGACTCGGGTTCGATTCCTATTCCAGCCGTACATTTTCTCCTTTCCTATTACACAGATACATGTAATATATACCCGGTACATGTGCAACATGGCTCATCCTAACGGTCGAAAAACACATTTTCCTCGGTTTTATTCAAATATGAATAAACAAAATACCGGGTACGTGTAGGCCACACAAATATAACCTTCAAACAATTAAAATACCAGGGGTAATCTACATTTCCTTATCATGAATATTTTGTAATTTCACTGTTTGGACAGATTTATACGATGAATGTCCAATAAATTCGTGGAGTGAAAAAATATTGGTCATTGCCATCCAAACACTACGATATTTAAAATGGACATATGATACATACAAAAAACCTAAGATGCCTGTATTGGTAAATATTGCCGGGCAAGCAATTGGTGCAACAATAAAATAAATTGGAAACATTCACAATTCTATCTTCCTCTCCAATTTATTTTTTTTAATCTGTTTTAGTAATAAACACATATAATGTGTATATAACGTACTTTTTGGTTGTTCATCTCCATCCCCTGATTGTGTAACTAAGGCAACCGCTAAAATGATAGCAACAACTATAGCTAGCACAGTGACTCCAAAAACAAGTCTCTTTTTTGTCAGAAATCCGATTCCAGTTCCTTCTTCAGAGCTGTCTCTAGACTGTAAAAAAGGTTATTTTAAATTATCTAAGTTTCATATGCAACCTTCGTTTAAATATTAACTATAATTAATTCATCGTTTTCTTGATATGAAATATGACTTTGGTATACCTCAGATGATTTTGTGACTTGCTTCACTACATTTTCGCTTTTTCCATTGTGTAAATCGTCCATCGTGTCATAAGCTTCATTGTCGTTCCCACGGCTGCACCCTTTCTACATAAAAAAATAATAAATCACAAATATTGCTAATTAATAAGACACTGAAGCCCGTTATTCAAATTTCCCACGTTTCTTATATCGTTGATGTCCTGTCGTACACAACAAACTAAATAGTGATACCTCAACAAGAGGCCCATGGGCCTTATATATTCATGCAACAACTTTCTAATGATTGAGTTTGGTTCATGTTTTAAACTAGACACAATGGCATTCATAATTTTGAAAAAGGCACCATTGCTCATCATAACTATACACTTAGCAACTGCTTAGTTTGGTTACTTAATACCCTTAGGCAGGGTAGAGAAAAAAAATGCATTTCAACTACTAGTAATCAGTAATATTCAGCAATAATCAGTAGTGCCCCATACCACACATGAACCTCTGACCCTAGGTCCACAGGAGCAGATTTCATACATTTAATTCATTTTCAGTATAAAGGTAGAGCCCCCCCCCCTCTGTGGTACCCCTGACCCAGGGGCCTTGAAATTCACAGTTCTGGAAGAAGGGCCCTTGCTCATCATAATAGCTATAAAGGTAGTTCATCTGCTTAATACCCAGGAAAGGATAAGAAGATTTTCAAAGATTTAATGTATTTTCACTATTATCAATACAGCCCTGCCCTTACACAAAAATCCTTGACCCTGGGGCCATAATTTTGGAACAGGTATTCTTGCTTATCATAACTATGTACTTTGTTAGTTTATTTAATACCCAGGAGAAGAGAAGATTTTCAAAGAATTATTGCATTTCACTATATAATCAATAGAATCCCTCCCCTCCCCCCAAAGACCAGAACCCCTGACCCTGGGGCCATAAAATTCACAATTTTGGAAGAGGCAATCTTGTTCATCATAACTATGTGCTTAGTTAGTTAATTTTATACCCAGGAGCAGAGAAGAAGATTTTCAAACAATTAATGCATACATGTATTCACTATATAATAAATAGAGCCCCCCCCCCCCTCCAAGACCAAAACTCTCTACCCTGGGACCTTAAATTTCAAAACATTGGAAGAGGCAATCTTGTTCATTATAACTATGTACTTCGTTAGTTTATTTAATACCGAGGAGCAGAGAAGATTTTTAAAGAATTAATGCATTTCACCATATAATCAATAGAATCCCTCCCCTCCCCCCAAAGACCAGAACCCCTGACCCTGGGGCCATAAAATTCACAATTTTGGAAGAGGCAATCTTGCTTATCATAACTATGTGCTTAGTTAATTTTATACCCAGGAGCAGAGAAGAATATTAATGCATACATGTATTCACTATATAATAAATAGAGCCCCCTCCTCCAAGACCAAAACTCTCTACCCTGGGACCTTAAAATTCAAAACATTGGAAGAGGCAATCTTGTTCATCATAACTATGTGCTTAGTTTATTTGATACTCAGGAGCAGAGAAAAAGATTTTCAAACAATTAATGCATATTCACTATATAATCAATAGAGTCCCGCCCTAACACAAGAACCCCTGACCCTGGTGCCTTAAAATTCAAAATTCTAAAAAAGGTATCCTTGCTCTTCATAACAATTAGCTTAGTTTGTTAATTTAATATCCAGGAGCAGAGAAGAAGATTTTCAGAGAATTAACGTCTTTTCATTATATAATTAATAGATCCCCGCCCTAACACCAGAACCCCTGACCCTGGGGCCATAAAATTCACAACTTTGGAAGAGGCGTTCTTGCTCATTATAACTATGTGCTTAGTAAGTTTATCTAATACCAAGAAGCAGAGAAGATTTTAAAGGAAATAATGCTTTTTTACTATATGATCTATATAGCCCCACCCTAAGACCAGAACCCCTGACCCTGGGGCCATGAATTTCACAATGTTGATAGAGGACTCAATGCTCATTATCATCATGCCAACAGTTTGACTGCTAGATGTCCAGGAGTAAAAATGAAGGTTTTAAAATATTGCATTAATTTTGGTGATTTTGGCCCCACCCCTCAGGCCCCAGGGAAGCAGGGGCCATGAATTTCACAATTTTTGTTCCCCTTAACCCATAGATGCTATTTGCCAAATATATATAAAAATATATTAACGCACGACGAACCACGCATTATTACAGCTGTAAAAACAGATATAGGTCACCTGAAATACCTAATAAAAAAAATATAGCCTTTTTTCACCGGTTTACCTCAAAGTCATAGTCAGATCCAACGTCTATTCCTCCGCTTTGTCGGCTAACGATGCTGGAGTAGAGATTATCTGGTTGATCGTCATCCTAAAAAAAGAACAATTCAATCTGATATATGTAGTACGAATGATACAATAAAACGATTTATCATACTCTTGCATTTTAAATAATAATGCTCATCAGATATTCGAGTTTTTTTGGTATATATTTTTTTTCGTTCATTTAAAATATGAAATTTAATCTAGAAGTAAATGTAACCTGAAAGGTTAACTTTCTTAAAGAACTACGAACTCTACTCTTGATTCCTGCCTCCATTTGCACCCTTGAAATTCAATATTAATGAGGATTTGGCCATAAAATTTTTGTTCAATACAAAAAAAAAGTTTAATGTTGATTGATTAATCATTTTCGTTCCAGCGCTAAATAGTATATTATAAATTATTATAAATAATTCTAGCTCTAAACTAGAACTGTCCAAAAGGGACAAAATACCCCCGCTGGGTTTTTTTAGAGGTGCCAAAGTATGAATATTTTTTGGATTTAAGAGAAGAGAGAAATGCTAAGACATTTCTAGTGCAAATGTACATGTAATTGCTCATTATATTTTTTATGAGAGAAACAAAGGTTCAGCCTAATAAGAAAAAGATAAAGATACAGACCAGACACGACTTAGGATTTTTTTCTGTCAGTGACCTTGAACGTGCATAAATGACCTTAGTTTAAAGGCGTGACACAACCACAGGTCAAAGGCAATCTTTGTGTAAAATGGGAACTCACCACGTTTATCCATAAGACACATATGGACCAGACATGAATTATGATTTTCTTTCTGTCTGTTACCTTGAATTTGCACAAGTGACCTTGAGTCAAAGTTATGACACACTCTCAGGTCATTAGCAATCTTTGAGTAAATGATGAACCCTCAAAGTTTATCCATAAGAAAGATATGGACCAGGCAAAAATTATGACCTTTTTCCTTTCGGTGAACTTAAACTTGCACAAATGACCTTCGGTGAAGGACATGACACATCCTCAAGACATAAAAATCTTTGTATAAAACAAGAACTTACAAAGTTTTTCCATAAGAAAGATATGTACCACACATGAATTATGAACTTTTCCTTTTAATGACCTTGAACTTGCAAAGATGACCTTGAAACAAGATCATGACACACCCTTAGGTCATGTGGAAACTTTGTGTGAAATAAGAACTTACCAAGTTTATCCATAAGCAAAATATAGACCGTACACGAGTTATGAAATTTTTCTTTCAGTGACCTTGAACTCAAATGACCTTAGTTCAAGGTCATTACACACCCTCAGGTCTTAAGTCATCTTTGTGTGAAGTTTTAGATTCAAGTTTTTCCATAATAAAAATATGCACCAAACATGAATTATAACATTTTTCTTTTAGTGACCTTGAACTTGCACAGATGACCTTGGGACAAGGTCATAACACACTTAGGTCATGAGATATCTTTGTGTGAAAAAAGAACTTACCAAGATTATCACTATGAAAGATATGGACAGGACACAATTTATGAAATTTTTCTTCCAGTGACCTTGAACTTCCACAAATGACCTCTGATTAAGGTCCTGATACACCCTTAGGTTATGAACAATCTTTGTGTGAAGTAATAGATTCTAATGTCCCTCAGTAAGAAAGATATGGACTGGACACGTTTGCACAGACAGACAAACGGACAAGCTTATTCCTATATACCCCCACAAACTTCGTTTGCGGGGGTATAAAAAGCGGGTGGACGATATTTTTGATTGAAATCGAACTTTCAAGTATCACCATATATTCTGAAATAGTCTTAAAAAGGATAAAATGTATCTTCTTTATCTTTTACGCAATAAAAAACTATAAATCAATAAAATACAATTATTTAGTTGTATATCGCTTTTAAATTGGTGAAAAATAAGCATTTTTGTCGTTTAAGGTCCATTAACATATGTTCCCCCCCGCAAAACACATAAAGCTTTGGCATAATTCGTAAAATGACAGCCCATATTTCCTGTTATAAGGAATTTTTGTTTCACGTGGGGAAAGATGTTTTAAAAATATCCGTTTTCCGATGACTTCTATTATAAGAGTGAAAAACACACGTTTTACAACCAAAAGGAGTTACCTCTCATTGTCTTCCCAAATTTGTAACTTTTTATGAGAATTCATATTAATATGTATAAAAATTTCAAAATCATTCGAATATATGTAATGGATATATGCCGAATACTGTTCTATATGTAAAATTATCAGACTGTTTGAGGCCCGTTAGGGCCGAAAACTGTCTGATAATTTTACATATATAATAGTATGAGGCATATATCTTACTTAAAACATTGCCATTTAAATGTCCAAAAGTTACCTGGAGGAGTCCGATAATAACACAATGGGAGTTTATGCATCCATTGTTTTTACCCGTCTGATAAGTAGATAAAAGAAATGAGACAGTAAAAAAAGTGAGTGAACTCTTGTTTCATTTCATTCATTCTATGGCAGCCGTTTAGTTTAACAGGACAGGGGTCCGGTGGTGAAAGATTTTTTTGGGGAGCAATTTTATTTATGATGTGCATAAATTGACATTAATACCTACATAATTTTGGGTGATATTCTAACCATCACCATGGAAAGTAAAAATGCGGATTTTTACCCTGAAGTGTTAGTTTAGATTCTGAGGTTTAAAAGAGTGGCCATCGGGGAATAAACATAAAATAAGGAGATTTGCAGACTTTTTTGCAAAAATGGATTTAAATTCGCTTATTCAAAGTGCTGTATCAAAAATTCTTTTAAAGAGTGGAAAGTATTAATTTTGTTGAAGGTTTAAACTTGGATTTTTTTTCATGGATTTGCTATTTTGTAGCAATTCAATTGCCTTGCGTTTGCTTTCCCTGAATTGTTTTCCTAACATTTTTATTGGGGGTTTCTAAAATATTTAACCTTAATTTCACTCTTCTTTTTGTTTTTTTAAATACCGTCCGATTTTGTTATCATTGCCGTCCGATAATATATTATCAGACTGGTAATTATTATTATCGGACGGCTACAGGTAAATTTTTAGACTGCAAGAACAAAAGCATGACGTCACAGCAATGTTTTAATAACTTTTAGAAATTGACTTCAGTTGAAGGTAGGCGGAAGAACAATACTATCGTTCGCACTTCTTTAAGATTATCAAAAATACTTTATTTTATATAATAATTCTTCTGCTGCCGATAGCTTGAGAGAGCGTGTCTGATTATGATTAATTTTTATGCCCCCCGTAAACGAAGTTTCGGGGGAATATAGTTTTTGTCTTGTTCTTCCGTCTGTCTGTCTCTGTTTGTCCGCGAAAACTTGAACCTTGCCCATAACTTTTGATTTAGTTGAGCTATGACTTTCTTATTTCACCTGTGTATTCCTTGTGAAAAGACCTTTCTTTGGATACCACAAAATTTGACTTTTTGATCCATTTTTACACAAAACTTCCAAACTTTTATTTTTGCCATATCTTTTGAACAGTAGATACTAAGACATTTATACTTCACATACGTATCCTTTGTGGAAAGACCGTTCATTAGATACCATCAATCTTGACCTTGGATATTTTCGTACTTATGAAGAAACATTAACCTTGGCCATAACTCTTGAACGTTAAGGGTTAATGATCTTATACATCACATATGTACATGTAATCCTTGTGAGAAGACCCTTCATTGGATACAAAGAACTTTGACCTTTAGACCTTGGAGTTCGACTTACTTTTGAAAAACAAGCATTGACCATAACTTTTGTAGGGTTGGGGCTAATTGTGACAAGACCTTTCATTTGATATCAAGAATTTTTACCCTTTGACCTTGACCTTTGAGTTTGACCAACGTTTTAAATTTTTAACCCTGGTCATAACTTTCGAAGGGTTAGAGCTAGGGCTTCCATACTTCAGATATGTATTTTTTGTGGCAAGACCTTTTATCGGATATCAATAACCTTGACCTTTTGACCTTGGAGATTTCTGTACTTATGAAATAACTTTAACCTTGGCCTACTTTCATATTTTCGAATTGTGTTTCCATTGAGAATACCCTACTTTGGGTACCAAAGTCACCATATGCCAGTGAAGGTCTTTACTCGCCACTGGGGCCATTTAGCAATAAAGGTTCTTTATCATGCCAAGGTCTACATGTATCGTGACACGAGGCCTCTGTTTTTTTTTTTTAGGTCCAAATTGCTTACAATTTTCACTCAAAGGAGCTGAGCAGTTAGTGAAGGAAAAAGTTGCTTCCATTTTATTTTAGATCGGTCGCGGCTTTGAATAGTACAAATGAATTTCCGATCACAAAGCGAGTGCTTTCAATTGCCAATAAACGGAAATGTATAAATGTTACCGACCAAACAAACATAATCAGACCCGGCCTCTGTGCCTCTGCTATGTCTGTCCAAACAGCTCACATAGGTATTGGATGGCCGATTTGCCTAAAATTTAAATTGTAATACATATTTGTTAAAACAAATACCGTATAAGTGGAATTTTTAGCGAAAGGCATATTTAGCGGTATGTCCTTAAATCTGGTATTTTATTTTTAGCAAAATGTAATTTTAGCGATTTTAAAATGCTCACTAAAGAACCTATTACAAATTAAACGCAATACATTTTTAAGTGGTAGTCAATTTTAGCGATCACAGCAATCTCGCTTATAATGCCAAAATTAAGGGACCAGGCAAAATTTATCACAATGATGGGACCAGTACAAAACAAAATTCTCATTTCAAAAAAGTACGTGTCCCATGACACTCGTATTAAAATAAATATCTGTCCCATGCCTTCAGACTTATAAAAAAGTCACCGTCCCATGGTTACCCCCGATACATCTTGATTTAAGGAGATTATTGCAACAAAAACTTAAGATTTTTTTTCAGAATACAGATATTTTAAACATCGATATTGTTCATTTTCATATTCCTTGTTAGCAGTGCTTGTCACTTTGTAATATTTTCCATTAACTGAATATATTCATGTTGCTTTCAGCCTTCGTTTGAGTTTTAAAGATATGACCTTTTAAAAAGAATATTTTTGTTGGAAAAAAATAACATTTTTCAATTTAATAAATATTTCTCTTGGATAAGGTACTGTAAATAATTGGGAAAAAAGTTTGTGTCTCATGGGTATTTAATGGTAAAAATGTTTTAGACCCATCGTTTTCTTCGATGAAAAAACTCATTGTCCCATGCCTATTTGTACCGGTCCCATCATTGTGATAAATTTTGCCTGGTCCCTAAATCCTCGCTAAAAATTCTACTTATACGGTGTATTTATCAATGTTCATCACAGGGTATGTAAAGGAGAATTTTAACCACACTTTAAATAGATATAAAGCCATTGCCTGCTGCCCAGTCTCACTTTTAATTGTGAATAAAATTTTGTATAAATGAATAAGATAATGAACAATCCATTCTCGTAAAAGCTTGTTGATCTTCAGTTTCAACTATTTCCATATTACGAAATACTTTACGAAGTATAGAATCAAAATGAATGGAAATAAAGAAATTGGTAGGAGCTATTCACCTATTGTCCTCGAGAAGTCGTTTCTGTCCTTATCTAATGGGTGCATTATGATTTCGTCTCTTCAAAAAGACCACTTTGTATTATCTTTAAGTTAACATTTAAAAGGGACATACTTGAGGTATCCTCCAAGTTTTTTTTTTAAAGAGTCGAAGCATTATTAAATAATATTTTTGAAAGTTTGCCATTGAGAAATACTGTCCCATTGCCTTTGCAAAGCTTTGCTCTCGAATGCACTAGAAAGGTATAATAACAGTTTAACGGTGTTTATAAAATAACAGACTTTCAACAACAGATCTCAATTATCCGTAATAACGCATTTTTAATAGGAAATGTGTTCCAAGTAAACTTAAATTTTATTCTTAAGAAAGATACAGAAAATTTATACTATAATTACATGTATAGACAATCCAAATAAAATATCAAAATCGTTAAAAAAAAATCCTTGAAAACGTCAGATATTTCGGACTAACAGGGCTGTGTCACTGTGCGAATGTTTCCGCCACAAAATCCGTTGTACAATGCAGATTTAAAGAGATATAAAATGAGCTTTTTCATGGTGAAGGGTTTTGTAATACAAATCAAGCGTGCAGATTATTTAAAACGAAATTACGTTAAGGAGGGTGCATTTAACTTATTTATCAGGACGGAACGGCGAAATGTGCAGTACTTAGGAAAAGGAGAAAATATGACACAAAATGCATACACATTGCGTGTACAATTAATATTGAAACTGACATTGATACTATGTGAATAAGGATAAATATACGTTTACAAACAAGTATTATACATGTACCTCATTTAGATTAATGTCTTGAAGATGTATTCCCCCGGACATTTTGAAAAATCGTGATGTGGAAACCAGCAACTGCAAATTAAATTATAGCATACCATATCACTATAATATCATCTGCAATTCTATTACTTTTAGCCAATTTGTCAAATTATCTAGCTTTCACTCTGGCCTAACTTTTTACGTTTCCTTTGTTTAAGTCAGATATCATTTTTTGAAATGGGGTTAATAATTTCAGGCAACTTTTTCCTAATATTTTTATTAGCATCGTTTAAGAACAGCAAACACCAGCTGAGACACGCGATATCCGAAGAAACCGCCTTCGCGAAAATCAGTGGATTCTTACCTGCCAAGAAGCTTTAGCTATCAACTCCAGCTGAGCTCTTGCTCAAAGTTTCTTTGAGCAAATGCTCCTTCACTGTTTCGCCTGGGGACCAAACCTCCTCGCAGTGACAATGATAAATAATGTTTAATTCAAAGCGGACATTTAAGTTTTGAAATCAAATCCTTTTGTCGTTTGTTTTCATTTATCTGAAATTCAAAATTTGAGAGACTACTAAACTGGCCCTGGTTTAAAGCAGATTAACGTTTTTTCCCCTCCCATACCATATATTGGAAAAAAAGGTTAAAAATCTTCTTTAGTATTTATATGAAATTATCATTTGCGGAATGACGTATATTAATCAACTTACCAACAAGCTGCAACGTTAGTTCCAGGGAGTGCACTTCTAGTAAGTTTAAAGGTAAGCAAGGCAATGCTCCTTTATTACAACAATATACTTTACATTTTTTCAATAGTTTTCTATAAATATCTTACAAAAATTGCCTTACCCTTTAAAAAACCGGGGCATTTGAAATATCGGATAACATTGCATTATTCTCTTTTAATATTTCAGCCGGTTATTATGTTTTAACGTGGCTTTACTGTTGTTACCTTGATATATTATAACGAACATATCTAATCTACCACAAAAGTAATTTGCTTAGTCAAAGTCTTTTTAGAGGTAATAAAAACTGTTCATATTATTTAAAGCTCTGATGCATCGCTTGTAAAGTTTCGGTAAGGAATAGGTGGCAAATGTTTCTTTAATTTGAGTCAGCTTCATTATTTGCAAACAAAGATGGATGAATTATTTGTTTTGATGATGATCAAGAAAGGTACTAGATAACATTTCCTCTTTTTTGGGAAAAAAATGTACTATTTGATGATAAGAGTGTCAGTAGTCTACTGTAAAACAATTCAATGAAATACAAGTAAAATTGATACAAAGCATCAACTCCGCCGCAAACAAGATTTAGCATTTCAAAAATTACTTTCATAATTTTAAAAGCATCCTTGCAGAGAAAGCACAAGATATTCAAGGCTGAAATATCGATCATTTTTATTTCAGACTGTCTTCAAATCAAAATAAATAATTAAAAAAATTGATAAATAAATAGAAGTTTTAGTGCATTTGCTAATTAAATGGATTCATCGATGTAATATAATATAATAGTAAATTACAAATTATAAGAATTTAACAAATTTCAAAATGAAGATGTATGTCTCTCAAGATGAAGTATGAGCTGATACCCAGAGGCCCGTTTCATCAAAAGTCGTACATTTAAGCCTTAACTTAGGTGTATAGTTGGGCTCAATTTGCGTTTCAGCGAATGGCGGAAGTCTAGTCGTAAACGATACGCTTATTCGCAGGACTAAGTCCTTGACAACGCGGCATTGCACATGATGCGAAAAAATCATAAACATTGTCCATGTTTAACATGTTTATAGTACATGAATACACAGTATAAAAAGCTAATTTATAGTTTAATCAAACTTGCTCTGATTAAAAGGAAACATGCCTTAATTTATAGAGATCTTGAAGGTGACATATATCGTATAAGAAATAAATTTTACTTTAACATTTTCTCATTTCAGTATTATTTAAAGAGAAAGGAAGAAAATGAATATTCATGTATAAATCAGAATTTAATGTAATTATTATTTAGTTTGTAATATTATTTACAGCCCCCCCCTCCCTCCGAAATTAATACAAATTTATATTGCATCACCGTTGATCAAGCAACTAATGTTTCGATATTTCAAATAAAATGAAGTTTGAGACAAATAAGATATTATGGCTTTTTCTTACATGAATAATGTATTTAAAAAATGCAAGCCATTCAGCCATTTTGAGTCAAGAACTTTATTTTTACGCATGATTACCAATACTCTAGGATTCGTGTAAGTCATTCCTCTTTCTATTAAAATCGTTCGACAACCAGATGATCCATGTTCTGCATAAAGTTTGATATACTAGTAAAATAAAAAAAAATTACTTGACTTGTATAATAATGAGAAATCCTTTATTATCAGCAAACTTCTACTTGCTCTTACACTAGTATGCAGAGACAGAGAGAGAGAGAAATGTAATAAGGCAAACATAGTTTATAATGCCGTTAAAATATTGATTTTTAAATCAAAGAAGTGAAGTCGAGCTCCCAGCGGAAGGTGATAATATTAACATGAAAGTAAATGTGCGAGATGAGCCAAACGTACGAGAGGAGTCCACAGCACCTATCAATAAACGGGCTAGAACTGGAAAGAATTAAGGTAAACAATCACTGTGTAGAGACGCACTAGCCTTATAAGGTTAAGCGCGTAACCCTAGTTAAGATGGCGACAAGCTAATACGCTTCAATTTTTCATGAATAAATATCGGTGAATTCTAATGATAAATCTCCAACATATATTAGCGAACTTATCGAACCGTACATACATGTACCTTTACGCTCAGAATCTCAAACCTTTTGGTGGTTACGTCAACAAGAACATGCCTAGAGTGCGCTCAATGAAAAAAGGTGAAGAAAAAGAACAATGATCTAAAAATCTGTCGACAGCCAGGGTATAAAACACGGATCCATGGAAAATCCAGAAGTAGGATCAAATGCCTAGGAGGAGTAAACCTCCATCGAAATAGAATCTTTTCAGGTCCTGATAACCAATAACAAGCAAAATGACATATTTTACAAATACTTTACCCTAGTCACCCAAAGAACTCTTCACCCTAGTCAAAACTTTACCCTAATCATGTTTAAATTTTGTACCCGCAATCTGGCTTCAATCAGCGCATGTCATGCCAACTTTTCGCAATAATTATGTTCTACTATATCAAATATTTCAATTGTAACAACATTTATAATGTAAGTCTGTAAAACTCTGAAACCAAGTGCAAAAATGATCGAAGTGTATTTGCCTGTCGCCATCTTGGACTAGGGTAACGCACTTTACCCTAGTACGTTTTCTACACAGTGAACTATGAAATACAAATACCGTGTAACCAATTTAATTAACCTATATGAACACGATTTAATTATAAAAAAATGTATACTTTAATATATATAAAGGGAAAGAGGATATCAACTCTTCGGATGTGACCATGAATGAACTTGTCAGTATAAAAAAAAATGAGGAGAAATATTGAAGAAAAACGATTGACGACTGAAGAACGAAAGGCAACCACTCTTGAGCGCATCGCATTAGCACTTAAGCAAGAATTCCTCCTAGGTCATCAAAGGAGTAGGAAATAAGCTTCTTGGTTTTTACCACAGGCCTTTGGATCGCTTAAAAAATTTGCGTGGGTTAATTCTCATAAAATTTTGAAAAGAAATAGATTTCAGGTTATAAATTCCTTTAAATGTTTTTGTAAATTAAACTCTCCCTCACATAGGCGTCGAAAGCAAATTTAAAGGCGGGGAGGGGGCTTAACCAACGAAAAAAGGTAATCCTAATTTTCGATGCCTGTATTATGTCTATCTTTGCAAAAAAATGCACCCCCCCCCCCGGGGTTCCGACGCCTATGTCTTATATATATATAAAAAAAAACTTCAACGCTAAAGCAAATCTTTACCGAGTGAATATCATTTATTTAAAAAAAATTACCATTATGAATAATGCTACTGTCTGATGATCGGGAAATTCCATGTAGATCTCCTGACTCGGAGAATTAATCTGCTTTCGACAGGTATATATCTGAGCGTCACAAGCACCTGCATATAAATATACCTGCTGCACTGTTGTTTAATAATATGTACATATCTCTATGATTTATAAGTAAATGACGATGTTGTCAACAATACTTTTATTCAACAAACAAAGAAACGTCATTACTTTGAAATTATATAGCTGCAGATATACACATTTGTATGTGCAGAAAAAAATACTTTTAAGTGTAAATTGTCTTTTACCGGTATTTGAAATGAAGTGTAAAGTCAAACAATTTACCTGCGTATAAGTTGGTATAACACGTGTTCTTCTTGTTTTCCTATCAACAATTGGTTCGATCAACATTGTTGACAATGTTAATTATGACGTGTCGGGGAAACCTATACCTCTCATTTAGGTCTATATCACCTAAAGTTTCCAAGACATTACTGCGGTCTCGAAGAAGGACGATTTCGTTTTCTAACCAGTAACACTGTCGCCATATTTTAAGTTTACGCCCAAACTTACGCCTACCTATAAGCAGACTTAAAATTTTGGCCCAACTTTAGTCCGGTGTAAAGATACGATCTTTAATGAGAGGCAAATTTTTCTGCTAGTTCAGACTACGCCGGTGTAGCGCTACGACTAGGCGTACGACCTTTGATGAAACGGGCCCCAGGATCTTTGTCATGTGATAACGGCCACGGTTTCTGCAGAGTTGGCCATGCTGCAAGTGCGGTGGAAAATGTAAAAACAAAATATCTTTGTGTCATTTGCAACTTATTCATAGTAATTTTTACGAGCTGAATAACTTTCATTTTTTTAATTCATTATGCACTTTTACCATGTCAAAGACGAGATATATTAAACCGTAACGCTCCTTCGTATGTTGATAATTGCCACATCTTCCATTCAAGAATGGTTGCAAAAAAATAACCGAAAGTCTCTGTCGAGACTGAAGCTCTACTGGTTTGTACTTATAGCAATGGAAGAGAAAATAAAATACTTGGGAATTGAAACTTTAAAACAGCAATAAAAAGAACAATGATCCTTGATTAAACCTCTTTATATTCTTGGTGTAGTCTACTTGCATGCCACATTATATTATAATCAGACTAAAACTGCATTTGTAGCATTTTGAGAGTATTTAACAGAAATTTGTATTTAAGTAACCAAGGCATATTCATCGAATTCATAAACCTAGATACAGAATTGTGTATCTTAATGTAGTCTACTTGTGTGACAAGTTATATTGAAATCAGACTAAAACTGTCAGAGGATTAGCATTTGAAAGAATTTCACAGAAATTTCTATTTTTTGTAACTTCGACAACACCGTTCATCGAAATCAAAAACCGATGTATATAGAATTTTGTTTCTTGGTGTACTTGTGTGACAAGTTATATTGAAATCAGACCAAAATTGTAGAGACAATTTTTCAGAATTTTCTATTTTTAGTAACCATGGCAACAGTTTAGGGCTGGGTATTGACCAGAAATTTC